CACCATAAGAGATCTGTTGGTCTGACCCCACATAATAATATAGCAACAAAAATTTATTAGAAGTAAATTTCATGTACATATTTACTATAATACCCACTATTTATGGGTAGCGCAGGGTTTAGTGGTCACTTCTCAACATTCATTGAATGGCATCCCTTGCAGAACAGTCGAAGCTGCTAACAATTCTTGGTAGTTTTATTGCAGATAGGCGGACTCGAACGGACAAAGAATGTTGAACATCGAATAGCTGTTTTATTTTAATTGTATCGATGGAATAGGAAACTCAATCCCTTCATGCTTCTGAGTGGAAGGCGGATGCGTGGCGCATTGCAGTCAGCCTGGTCGGAGCTAGGCTGTTATTTTTTAAGTGGGTAGCGAACAAGCAGGATAAGTAGGGATAAAGCATTTGGCGTCAATCAATCAGTTTTGGGATACGCCGCGCATTCTACTTCCATTCCGAGTCGTAGAGGTAATTGTAATGTAATTTGGCCTATGTAATGACTTGCGCGGCCAGCTAATGTACCAGAATTTTTCTTTTCGTGTCAGAGTTTGGTTCCAATTAACCTACCCAAGAGGGATGGAATTGATCCAAGATTCATCCCTCGGAACGCACATGTGGTAATGGCGCCACTTGAACTTCACCATCTCCATACTCTCTTGTGACCAACAAAAGCTCGATATTTAAGGTCGTACCGTCAAGTATTTGGCCCTGAGGACGCAATTGAACACATCGAATTCCAGCTTCCTGGTCAGAGCACTAATCAGGTCCTTTTTGACTCAATTTTTCAATCCACGACGGTCTCCAACAGTAAATTGTTTGTAATAGTAAATTCAGGCTATCCAATCCGGTGCTCTTGATTATGATGAAAGCAGTGAGGATGTGGAACAAGTAGGTTCAGTGAATCCCATGAGACCGGCGATCAACAAGAATTGTAGCGGTTGTGGAGCGCAGCTGCATTGTAAGGTGGGCCATTGTTTTTTACACATATTTTGGCCATATTATTGTATTCCGGTTTAATTTCCTGTAGTTCAAACATTTCAGGATGCCTCTTTACCAGGATTTCTTCCTGAAGAGTTGTTAGACAAAGCCGCTCGCAAAAGAGCCGCTGCGGAAGCGATACTATGTCGGCGGTGTCATCTTCTCAAACATCATAATTTCTTGGTGAGACCTTCAATTTTAATTGCTCAGCTTTAGATTGATGATAGCGTGACTCCATGCGGGTCGCATTTTGGAGGGCTAAGGCAGTCCTTCTAATTCTTTAGCCCCGTTCCTGTGTCGTATTTTTGCCTACCTGCATTAGTTTCTCTTTCTTCATACCCATTGAAGCCCACCTCTCGTGCGTTGAATAAATCCTGACAATTTGGCGATTCTTTGGCGGGGAAGGCTCCTCAAGGTTACTGCCACCCCAGGCGTTTGACCCTCGTCGATATTCCTCATCGTGGCTTACCAATCGCGGGGTTTGGTTGAGCTGTTAAAATCAATTTGTCCCTTATATTGACCATTTTCAGCTGAACGTAAACGTCTGCCCAGTGGATTATGAATCAGTCATGTCATGCCTTCGAATGAATCCCGAAGCCTTGGTGCTCTTGGTTGTGGACGTCACCGATATCCCATGAAGCATCCCTCGACAACTTCCAAGAATTTTTGGGCCACGGCGACCCATGATTGTCATAGGTAGGTTCATGTATTTACTGCCTCGTGCAGAAA